GGGTGAGGTCAGGGCCGAGCTCTCCATTCAGCCCAGCCCGATCTGTCCCTGCTGTCCCTGTGGCTGCCAGAGTCTCAGAGGAAATCAAAGGCTGAGACTTTGGGCTCCAGCCAAGGAGCTCAGAGTGGGGCCTCTTAAAGGGCCCCTGAGCCTTCGTGTCTGCTGTGGGAGCCCCGTTCAGGGCTGGGGAGAGGGTGTCCTTCCAGGGTCCTCTGGGAAGGTAGTGCTGGGGACCCTGGTTTTCCCATCTGTATGATTGTCACCCTCTGAAGCTCCGGGCAGCTCTGACACCCTGTGGTCCCACCTTTGTCCCTTCTGCTGCAGGGTCTGCCCCTCTTGCTCTGATCTCCAGAGAGCGGACTCACTCATTGCTCCCCTCCGCTCCCCCTTCCCAGCCCCTCTTTGGGGAACCAGCTGCTGCCACTTGACCCTGTGGTGTCACAGCTGCTGCCAGCAATGCCATCCTTGCTAGGCAGGGAAGGAGGAATGTGATTTAATTTCAGCTGGAATGTGCCCTCGGAGGCTGCCCAGAGAGAGGGGAGGGGGTGTAGACCAAGCCACCCACGCCCAGGAAACCCACGAGGGCTCTGGGCCGGGACGGGCTCCTGTGCCCTTGTCCCATGGGAGGGGCCCTGCAGCAGGATGGGTCTCGATAGCAGTGGGAAAAGAAAAGGCTTCTGGTGACTGTCCCTGAGTCCACAGGCCCCCTCAGAAAGGTAGCGGGGAGTCTCCTCACCCCTAGAAGAAGGGACGGGGAAGGGACGACTGGCTCCTGGCTCGGGGCAAGAAGAGAGACAGAAGGCCTCGGGTGCGGGCCCACAGACTGCAGAGGAGAGCAGAGGAGCATTCTGAGGTCCCACATGATTTCCTTCACCCTGGGGGCCCCATTCCCTCTCCCCTCTTTCTTTCTTTTTTTAAAATATTTTTTTATTTCAGAGAGGAAGGGAGAGGGAGAGAGAAACATCAATGATGAGAGAGAATCACTGATTGGCTGCACACCCCACACTGGGGATCAAGCCCGAAACCCAGGCATGTGCCCTGACCAGGAATCAAACTGTGACCTCCTGGTTCATAGGTCGACCCTCAACCACTGAGCCACACACACTGGCCCCTCTCTCCTCTTTCTAACCCAGCACCCCAACACCAGGTCGAGCTTGCCTCTTTGCCAACATTTCAGGAGCAGTGGACTCTGCCTCCTGCTCCCCACTTCCTCCCAAGCCCATTATTCCAGGCTCTCCAATGTGGGTGTCTCTCCTATCACCTCACACCTGTTCTGGATGCTATAGCACCAATCCCTCTTGCACCAAAAGGGGTGGACCTCAGGCCCAGAGTCCCAGTCCTACAGCCCTCTTCCCCTAAGTCTCCTCCTCTCCCAGCTTCAAAGTCCCCTCCCTGCAGCCCCATTCACCCTCCCCACCCCCATGACTCAGCTGTGACTCCAGAAATAAACGGAGGCAGGAGCCAGGGGGCCACTGTCGAGGAACCACCATGTCCCAGCAGCTGTGGGCTCAGCTGCTGCTAAGCTGGAGCCACAGGGTCCCTGGAAGGGTGTCTGGAAGACTTCAGCGGTCAGTCGGGCAATGGCCAGCTGGCTTGGCCCTCTCCTGAGACCCCATCCTCCCTGCTAAGGAGAACGCTCCTCCCTGGCAGCCTCACTCTCCACTCACTCTCCTTCCCCATCCCCTGGCCTCTGTCTTCCACCTACTTTCCTCCCTCCTCTCTGGTCTCTCCCAACTCCTGAAGCACTTGGTGTCTCCTGGATCTCTTCCTTCTCTGCTCATCTCATTTGTCAGGAAGTTGTATGTCAGAGCTTCAACGCACCTTGATGGGGAAACTGAGGCACCAAGAGACATCCCTTGCCAATGCTACTAAGAGTCCCTAGATGCCAGTTGGAGTCCATAGAACATGGGCCAAGTGGCTGTGGGTCGCTGCCCTTAGGTAGTCCGGTCCAAAGTGGTCAGTAGCCTTCCCTTGTTAACAAGCTACTAGAGACTAAGGAAGGACCCCCAGGAAGTAAACTCAGGGGCCAGGAGCTGCGAGCAGGCGACGAAGCCGAGTCGAGTCTCTCACAGGGCATTTTCTCACACCCTCTTCCTTCTCCCCCCCTTTTCCTCTGCTCCTTCCAAAGCCCTTCCTCTTGCTCTGCCCTGAATCTTCTAGTTCTTCCGTCCCAGGAGGGAGGAGGTTGCTGGAGAAGCAGGTGGCAGTTAGATCTCAGGGAGGACCTCCGGTCGGGAATTGGAGGGGATCTGACTGCAGCCCCAGGGAAACCCTCCCCCTCAGGGGTCTGACAGGCGAGCATTCTTTGAAGTCTTTGGGAGCTGCTGTGTCACAGCAGGCAGGCAGGCAGGACAATGGGGCCCTTTTCCTCCCTGCACAGGGGCAGGCCCACTGATGGCCTCAGGGCTGGGACAAAGGCCCCAGTGAGGTCAGGGCAGTGTGTAGGGCAGGGAGGTGGGAAGGAATAAGGTGAGGGGGTGGTCAGAGCAGCCTGGGGGGAAGATGGGGACCCAGCGGTTGAGGACCTTGGCAGGCCCATGTCACCGGGCTCTGGGCTCCTCTGCAAGGCCCAAGCCCTGACTTCCACCCAGTCTGGACCTGCCCCTCCACTTATTCCAATACACCCTCTGACCCCCCTCTTGTCCTTCATCCCCAGGGGGCCCTAGGGGGGACCTCACTTTAGACACGTATGAAAGGCTGAGGGGCGAACCGCATATCCAGGGGCTTGCAGGTCTGTGCTGTGTCCTGGAGGCAGAGGCTCCCAAAGAGAGGCTGACACTCCATGAGGGGTCAGTTCCCTCTGCCCAGCCCAACACAGGCCCCTGTCTCATTTTTCCTCCCTGGGCCAGGGCTGGATTCTGTGCAGGGTGTTGAGTCACCCCTGGTCCAGCTCTCCCTTCCCCAGGAAGCCCAACAAAGCCAGAGGCTTCCGTTTTAGGCAGTCATGCCCAAGCAGCCCAGCAAGTGTCCGGAGGGGAGGAGTGTTCTAGTTCCAGCCCCGTGTCACCCTCTGGACCACCCCTCCTCCACAGTCAGAGAAGATGGCGGACCCCTGCCGACCGCGGGTGCGGAGATTCAGTGACTAAGGGGCTGGGACACCAAAGCCCCTTCCAGCTCACCACTAGGGTCTCTCTGGGAAATACCACCTGCTTTCTAAACCCCATCTTCGTGAGGTCACAGTTCTCAGAGAACTCCCCTGAAGGACCCCAGGACAGACATTGTCCCCTCTTCGGCCTTCTCTTCTTGAGGGGCTATGTTCAAAGGCCCACCCTGGTCTCCATCCACTCACATTCCAGCTAAATTCCATGACATGCCTAAACTGCCCTTGAAGGGTAGTACAGGATAAGGGGGAGGGGCTCCCTACTCTGGTCCCCAAATCATCCTCTTCCCTGTAACTCCTTAGGAAACAGCCTTGGTCCCTAGCTGTGCTTGGCTGGGTTGTCTGGGGAGGGCAGAAGCGGGGCGCGGGGGGAGGTGAGCCCTGGGTGAGGAGAGGACTGTGGTATCTCAGAGACCAGCGGGTTTGGGGTTTGTATCCAGGTGGAGAAGGTCCCGGAGCTGGGCAGGGATGGCCTGGGAGAGCCCGTTTTCCTGTCTTGCCGCTGTCTCTGGGCCCTTCCCCATCACTCTCAGCCTCTGTTCTCTGATTGATTCTGTCTCTGTGTCTGTGTCTTACAGGCTTTAGTAACTGGCACGTGTGTGGTTAAATGTGAGGATCTGCAGCAAGAAGATTCACCCCCACCATGGAAACAGATGGCATCCCGACACACACTCTCCCATAAGGTACAATTGTGCCACACACACACACACACACACACACACACACACACACACACACACAGAGCTGGTCATTCTCTCTCCAGTTCTCAGAGTGACCTCACTATTTCAACCTCCGCTGACTCACAGCCCCCAGGCCAGCTCAGGCTGGCGGAAGTCTTACCCCCCTTCCTCCCCCCCCCCTCCCTC